ACWGAMARAAAAAACCCAAAAGACATAAATTAYCTAATGTTCAAACTCCAGAAACAAAATCTTGCTCAGTATATTCTATTCTGTTTGTATTAATAAGGAAATTCTCAGCTCTCTACAGTGTGTGCAGGAGCTGCTTCAGCGAATAACCCAAAYGAATGTTAGAATGGAAAGTGAATTAAAGGCACTGAAAGAAGACTATCAGGTCAGATTTTTCTTGATTAGACAAGCTGTTACTATCTATTATGTATTTTTAAAGTCCAGGGCTGTTAAAGACATCTGTGTGCTTTTCAGAACTTTTGACCTCACTTCCATTGCTCCCTCAGCTCCTTAACTGTCAGCATGAACCTTGAAGCGCAGGCTGTGCTTTCCCTCTTTTGCTTTTCTCCCTAAGTAAATCATGGTTGCCAGAGGGCAAAACTAGAACAGGGTTGCTTTCAAGTATTTTTAAATCAATTACTTCATTACTTTCGTTTCTTGTAATTTTCATATAGGTATAAATATCTGGACAACATTTAAAATTTCAGATCTTCATTCATAGCTTGAGCTTTTGCTCAGTTTTATTAAAGCAGAGAGCCTAAGAAAGAGCATATCTTTAGTATTTTTTTGCTATGTTTTCTGGTGTCATATTTATGCTAGAGGCAGAAAGTAGTCATGCTGGAGAGTGAGGAGCTGCAGCATTCCTTAGTTCCTCTTTCAGCTCAGAACAGTTYAGATTCCACATTTCAGCACCAGTCAGATTGGCCCACAGTGCACTGAAGATTAARGTCATATCTGTTGCCATCATATGTGCCATGCAGAGTTCAGGTAAAACCACTAACTAACTAAATTAACACTTGAAAATTAATGTTAAGTGAATCAACAAGTAGACTCATTTTCAGTCAAAAGAGGAAAAGGAATTGGTAAAAAGGAATTGGTTTGGAGTATTGCCTCCATAACATTTTCAAGTGGACTTTTAAAGAAGCTCAGCAGAGCCATAAATATTTGGCTGGTCATACATCTACGTGCATTAAAGTTATGTTTACATYATCAAATATAATATAATGTGTCATCTATATAGTAGGAAATGGAATGCAGTGAGTCTTTTATACTCCATATTGTTTGCYATAAAAATGTGATAGGATAAAAATKACAAGAGTACTCGATACGTGTGTGAAGTTCCTGTTGATTTACACAAGACTCCTTTAATTTGGCATAGTAAAGCTGAAAGAGTTAACCCAAAAATGTTSCAAGTATAGTTATGGTAGCATAAAACTTAATATTACTGTTATTTCAATGCAATCCTATTTCAGTGATGTAATAAAAATAAATTAAAACATAATCAKATATATACATAAAGTTACAGTAGATATGTTTTAGAATGTAAAGATTATACACTTTATAAGAGGTCAATAAACAATTTGGGACAGAAAAAACTAATTAGAATTTTTTTTTTTCTTTCAGTATACTGTAGGATTTTTCTTTAAGTACAGTGGGTCTASATTATGCTACATTTCATACTTCTCATCTCTGGACTTTATATTACTTTTTCAGCACATTAAAACTTATGCAGTGAAACTGAATAATGGCAAGTGTTTTTATACCCTTTTACAGCCATTTCTTTTTTCATAACCTCCCCCTGTTTCCTGTTAGCTAAACTATAAGCACCTTTCTGTTAATTTATGAAAATTATTGTTGAGATAGCACATTATCACTGATCTGTATGGCACTTGCAGCATGTTAGAAGCAAAGGTCCGAGCAACATAAAACACATCAAAATTCATTAATGTGGTATTGATTATTTTTTGGATAATTAATTTTATTGCAGGCCCTTGAAAGAGATAATGAGCTGCAAAGGGAGAAGGCAAAGGAAAATGAAGAAAAGTTCCTTAATCTTCAGAATGAGCATGAGAAGGCATTAAGAACTTGGAAAAATGATGTAGGTTTATTAAATTAAATGTTATASTCTTAAAAGTTTTTTGAAATAGTCATCAAGCATTTCAGGTAATTCCTAAAATCCAAGAAAATATTGCAGAAATAATACAATAAAAACAACCCGTTTCTTCTCCAGTAGCACAGACACTTCTAGAAATGAGTATTTTTTTAAAGGTGGATTTAGGTTGACTTCTGTGCTCTAAAAAGTCAGTGTTCTTCATGAAGTTCTGATTTTGATTGGAATTCTTCAGTGTGGACTGAGGSTAAAAGGGGATGAGAAAAGGTGAATGTCTGGTATGTCCCCCCTGGGAATTCACCTCTGTGGACATCTAAACAATAGTTCATCTTCTATATTTGAAATTCTTTCTATTACTTCATTAATTTTAAAGACTACTTCAGAAATTAWTTAATCCAAAACAATTAGCAAAACATTTTAGCTGTAAAAATTGTCTGCAGTAAGAAATGCATGTTTAGACATAGGAAAGATGAATACCTCTTCAATAAGACAAGATCTGCTTAATGTGTGGAAACCAGACTCTAAGCAGCATTTGTTTAATAGTCTGTCTTTTTTATTTCTATGTACTTGGCACCTACTGCCAGAAAAGTTTTGGTTTTGGTAGATAGATTTCTAGGGAAGCTGTGGAGAAATAATGCAAAATTGTCCTTGTGATCCTGTTGTCTAAGGCTCAGTCCTTTGAGTGCAGCCACTGTGGGGATGACTGCAACCATGAGGCCACAAAATAGCTCAGAAATTCTCAGAAATGCTTACATCTATTCTTTAGAAGATGATTTTTATTCCTTTGTTATGGCTAACTAGAAATTTTGTCTAYTAAAATAAATCATTAAGGATAAAGTTAACACTGGTCTRRAAAYCTTTGTAAATTAAGTGAAGGTATTYCTGTACAATTGGCCTTTTGCTCTTTTTACAAGTTGTTGTTTGGACYATCCAATTTGTTCTAAACACAAAAATGCAATTGTTACATATTTACTAAAGAAGCATTGGATAATTGAGGCTATTTACAGAAGTAGAGTGCCAAGCAAATTATTTGCTATTGTGGTTTCTTAACAGTGTAGGTAGAGAATGAATGTTGACTATCACATTTATCTTTGAGCCAAAAAGGAAATACAAACATATTTTGAGCATTGATACTTTCAGTTAATGGTGCAAAAATCCCAAACTGGTTAATAAAAGCTATAATCTGTAATGGAATTGTGATTAAAATTTTAGTTTGAATGAAAGAGCTCAATTACTCTGTACAAAGAAATTCCTTAGCATCTATGCTTTCTTTTAAGGACTTAGTTTAATTTGYTAAGCTGTTGATACCCTTATGAAATGCTGGTTTACCTATTTGAGCATGCAGCAAARTGTCTGTGTGTTCTGTGTACTTGCAATTATTACAGGAGGAAAACATGAGAAGAGAAATACACGCTATTAAAAATGAGCTGAATTCCCTTARAGTACTTCATAGACATCTTGAAGATTATCATCCTCCTCAGGGAAATCAGCACTCTGAGCAAGTGGAAAATCTGCAGGTAAATGTCTCTGCCAGCTGCAGTGCATCTTGTAAAAATGCTAGAGATAGACAAGATTAGACAAACTGTCATGTCATGCCCRCTGATCTTCCTTTGACATTGCTAAATCTAGAAATTTATCTGACAATGATCCAAAATACCATTAAAACTTRCTGCACCCAGTGCATGTTTGTGTGTGAGCTGACTGAGTCAAATCTCCAGTGGAACACTGCCAAGAAACTGGAGCTGCAGCAGATCAGATTGGTTATGCTGATTTGTGGAATTTCACCTTGCATCACTAATGGGTCAGTGAAACATAAAAGGGAAAGGTGTTGGTGAGGATTTAGATTTTGACTATGGTTCCAAGTGTTCTAAGGATATATGCATATACTTAATTTTACACCTAGTGCAATCTGAAATCCCTGTGGTTATTTGTGGGGCATGAAATTCAGAATGTACATAAACTTCTTCATACTGATCACCTCTGGAATAGGAATTCAACAAAAGGCCTTTTAAAAAGAAAGGTACAATGTCAGACCTCATCACGGACTTAGATTGCAATTTGTTCAGTGATTGTAGTAAATTATTAAAATACCTATAATCTTTTGTTCCTTCTTATGCTAGAGTGGTCAAGAACACTCAAAAGACAGTGAAATACAGGCTATTCAGAAAGAAAATGAGTTTGTGCAATCTGTAATAAGAAAATATGGTAAYTGTGGAAATGAGGAAGAAACTGAAGTAAAAAACACAAGGGACCAATCTTCAAGCATTGAGGAATTACAGATAGAACAAAGTAATAACCTTCCATGGATAATAGAGATAAGTAGTTTTGTTGAAGAAAGCATAAATGTTTACAAATATAATGTATAAAACGAGAAGGCTTAAATCCTGAATGAAATGGTCATATCTAAAATCTACAGAATGTTAATGTATTTTCTGCTTTATCAGTTTATAAATATTTTGCACGTTACCATAGTGTAATACTTATCTTCAGTAGCTTTTTGATAGGCTTGTGTGTATAATATAAGTATCAGTATCAATACTAATCTTGAGTCCATCTCTTTGGAAAGTATAAACTGTAAAAATAAAGCATTCCACAGCCTCTGGATTATCAGTCACTAACTAGAGAATACACTCACTCTACAGATTTACAAGTTCTTGAAAACAGTTTTAAGGATGAAATTAATGTTGCCAGCCCTTATGAAGAAAAGCAAAGGGAGGCTGCTGCCAGGAATACCCTCTGCACAGATACTGATTTAATTACCCAAGGACACACCTCATCATCACATGTTACTGGATGCAAAGAGGCAGAAGATCCAGGAATGACAGAGAAACTGTTACTARATGCAGACAGTGGAAATTTAGATCAAAAGCCACGGGACAGCAGTGAGCCTTTGGCAGCATGCCACACACTAACAAGAAAGGTCTTTTTAGGCAGTACTGGGACTGTAGGTGCTGACAGGAAAAATGGGAGTCAAGAGACCAACACTGGCAAGGAAGAATTGTGCAATGCTAGAGATGAACCGAATTGTGCCAAGGCAGATGCAAACTCAAACACCAGACAACACAAAATTGTCCTTACCCCTGAAGCACCCAAACCTGAGTCTGAAGCTGTTCTTTGCACTGAGAAGAGTGAGAGAAGTACAGATAACCACCAAGCTAAGGAGTTAAGTTTTGGCATCCTATCCTATACTAAAGAAAATTCTCAAGCAGAATACCAAAAATGTAGGTTGCTGAAAAGTGACAATTATGTAGGCAGTGGATTACATAAAACAGAAAAAACCTTAAACCTGAGTGGTTTACATAGAGATAAACTTCCTCTRGGACAGACACACGTAGATGCTGAAGGCAGAAACAATGACAATGCCAGAAATGTGAACAGCAAGGATGTTCTGGCAACAGATGCTCAAAATCCACCAACTGCTTGTTGTGRTAATGCAAGTGGTGATGCTGATGCTGCAAAAGAACATAGAGATAGTAAGTGTCTCTTAGGTACTTTGAATTTATGCCCCTCCAAAACTGAGAGAGGAATAAATGCAGATGACATGCACAGCAAGACACCTCAACAAGACAGTGTTAAACAAACTGAGAAAGTTACAAATACATGGACTTCAAGTGCTGAAGCTGAAACTCCAGGAAAGGCTGATGGTCTTGAAAGTGCTGATAAAAAAACCCCAACAGATACGGCAAGTACAGATCAACTAATTCCATGTAAAAAAGTTAAGGATGATACTCAGATACAGTCCATCAAAATTGGACATTCCCTGGAGCTTACTAATTCAACAAAAACCACATTGTTAAAAGAGAAAAAAGATTCACTGAATAATACTGTTCCAGGAAGGAAGTTTGCTGARGGTCACCTGAAAGAACCATGCTCTTTACCCACGAGAACATCTGGAAATTTAGTAAATGTAAGTGTAGGGTCATCCTTTGATCTTTCAACCTCAGATAAAGAAGCTGAGAAAACTCCACTACACTTGAATTTTTTAGCTCTCAGTTCTTGTTCAAGAGTAAATCAAATGAGAGGTCAAGCCACATGGACTTCAGCTTCCAAGGAACCTTCCCTTTTGAAAGAGAAACTACCAKGCTTAGTGGAAAACACAAACATTATTTCAAACACAGCGTGTCAAAATCTCAGTGAAAATGTGGACAAAGGAGAAACAGGACAAGGTAAGAAAATACAAGGATTTATGTTGTGAATGATGTATTGGTTAGAAAAATAATGAAAATGTGAGATTTCTGTATCTAAGCTTAGTGTATAAAAATGGAAACCTGTCATTTTAATTACATGGCAAAAAAAGAAGAGAGATCTCTCTTTATATTATAAATGCAACTAAACAGCTTATGATAGCTYAATTAGTTGATGAAATGTTTTTTTCTCCACAATTAGTGCCTGGAGACTARACTGCAGTTGTTACCATTTCCTTTTTGTCAATCAGGTTCTASCAGTTTGAACAGAGCTGCCAACACTTTGAATACCTCTAGTGTCCACCGAGACCCCCAGGGAGACCCTAGTGAAGAATGGAATGCTCCAGCAAAGGCTTTTTATGATTCTCCTTTTCCCACAGAACATGTAAGTCAATTAAAAATATTGCAGACCAGACCTCAGTGAGCTAATTCCACAGATATTTGTACAACTGTACCCATCTGGATGCTTTAAGGCTGAGTCAATCTCCAAAATAATATCAAAAGGGCAACAAGACACCATTTTTCACAATTAAGGTTGATAGAAAGCAGCAGGAAAAAGTCACAGCATATGAATCAAACAGATGCTAACCAGTCTGTTTGAGAGGGGAGGAYGAGGGTAGCCCATTGTGTACCCTAATAAAAATCATCACCTACAGTAGGAGTTAAAAAAAAGGAAATACTTATATGTAGAAGTAAAAAAAAAAAATTGCTTCCTTTATTAATCAATAGGACCATGTTATTTAAAAGAATTTGTGAATAAAAATTAAGCACGTCTGTGAAGTAGAGCCTATCAATTTATCTTACTCTGCAGTTAGGTGATGTCCTATCAGTTATTATTTTGTAGAATGACATACAGAATAAAACAGAAACCTGTTGTTTCCCTCTAAGGCAGCTTCATTCAGGATGGCACTAAGCAATCACTGCAGTTTCACATCAATGTTAGACTGTTAGGAGCTTGAACACCTCTAACTTCTGTATTAGAATTRGACYTAGTGCTAAATGTAACATTCAAGGGATAAAATAATTTAAAGATGCAGTTGACTTTTTTTAGATGAGGTTTCTCAGGTAGTTAGGCCTGTCTCTGGATAAGGTGTGTAGTGGTTTCAAGTGACAAAGCTGACTCAAYCAGCTCTCGATGCCATCAGCATCCACATTCCCTGAAATTCATACTATTCCATAGAGATTTTCACTGGCATGCAGTGAGGTATGATCTGTTTCTTGCTGAGGCCTTGGGAAAAAGCCTGGGAGAATTAACTTGTAGAAACTTTTACTGCTCAAATGAAGCAGTTACTTCCTAATTGAAATGCAGATGCCAGCCCTTATTGACCCAAAATATCARTACCTTCAGCTGCATGGCAGTAACATGGTTACAAATACAACCATGAACAATTTACAACAATTTTATTGTTCATATTCCAAACTTTAAGAAATGCTTGTGCACTGGGGAAGGAAAGTTTTAGCACAAAATTAATGTGCTAAAATAAAGGTAGGCCTGAYAAAAACATTGCGACTTACAGMTGGCTGGGGCACAATTGCTTAAAATTAAAAAAATAATTGAGCAGAGGGGGAAGGTCTCATATTGTGCTCCTTCTAAGAGAAGAGCCCTAGCACAGAAGCAGAGCCTGAGGTCACCTTGCAGATCCCCTGCAGCCCTGGCTCTGTGGTACTCTGAGCTCAGGCTGTGCTGTGTGCTGTCCCCACAAGAGCCACACAATCCCAGATTACAAATAGAGAACTCATCATTCACACACAAGGTTTTTGCTCATCAGGCAAAAAATCGGTTTCCCTACTGTGTTGCCATCTGTCTTTGACTTGGATAGATATGAAGTATCTAACAGTCATATATCAAAGAGTAATTAAGACTTTTAAAAGWACAAAAAGATCTTTAACATGAAAAAGCCAACCTATTACAGACTTTGCATTAATGAGGTTTGCTTTCTAATCTATACAGTGGAAAGGGAGTTAACACTATAAACCTCATGATTTTGGRTTTTGTTAATCAAATGCTTGCATAGCAATAGAAATACCAGTTGCAACATTAAACTAATTAAGCTATTTATTTTGCTAATCTGCATTCTAATACATGCTTGTCTTTTAAAAATCACTCTCTTGTACCAAGTCTTCTGTYAAGGTTTGGTTTATAAAAGTGTAATTGTCATTATCAAGTTTTCTAAATCAAATATGAAGCAAGCACTTCAAATTAAACATACTTATTCCAATTGATTTATCTTCCTGTTAACATTTCCTTGCTTGTTTAAGGCTTAGCAAAATCCAACAATCTGAACCTTTGTATATGAATTTCACTGAATTATCAATTACTATATTGTCAGGTTAAAGAAGGATCTGCTGCTTTACAGAACAAGTCTTCTCACATGACTGTCACTCCAGCAAGAAGTGAAAAAGCAATCACAGATGAGGACAGCTGTTCTCTTCATAACTCCATTAAACAAACCCAAACAGGAGAAACAGAGAAATTACTGAACGTGGAGAGACTTAATTCAGAAAGAAAAAGAAAATATGAAGAAGGCCAGTGAAGATCAGTGCTAGGAGATAAACATTCTTTTAGGCATAGACAGATCACTTACCTAAGCCAGATTTGTAGAGGTATTCCTACAGAATGTGGTTTCATGTTTAATATAACATGTTAACATTTCTTATGTTCAAAAATGTATACAATTCCTAGTACTAAAGTTAGTTTTGTTTCTGCAGTCAAATTCAAGTTATTACTGGCTTTGCCCAAAGTTTAAAAGTTTGTAAATTAGTGTTTTTTATATGTTTAATAAAATTAAATGATGACTTAACTGTAAATCATCTTCTGCTCCTCAAAAGTTTTAGCTGAAATAGTTTAATTCATTTTCTCTGACAYTGCTCACTCAGTTTTCAAGCAAAATCACCTCCAACTGTTTCAGAATACAATGGTTTCTGCAAACATTTACAACTACTTCCAGCAGTTCCAAGTGGCAGAAGAACAGAAAATTCTGCTTACTTTTACTGCCAAATTATTTAAATGTGTCTGTTATAGTTGATACTGTCTCAGTAAGGTGTCTTTCAACACTGAAGTATCAGGTATGATTAGAGAGATAAGGCAGAGATCTGCCTTCATGAAGCTTCACTCATGTTGGGTCACATTTCTCCTCCCTTGGGTCTAAGGGAAATTTTCTCCTTTTTTAAACCCTGCATTATCATTTTTCTGACCTCCCCCCTTTCCTTCCCACACCTCTTGCAAAGAAAGGTCCTCATATTGTAAGATGAACAAAAGAAGCATAACCAATATTGCAAGTTTGTTGTTGCTGGTTAGGTAAGAAAATCAACAGAAGACATTTTCCCATGTTAGTTTTATTGCCTTTTTTTTTTTTGGGTGGCAATTTAGAATATTTAGCTTCTTCAAACCAATCGCATACTTTTTTTGAAACGTTCACAAATTGTCATAGTTTTGAATAAAATTCATCTATAGCAATATTACTTGGTCAAAAAAATTTCTTAGGTGTCTGAGAGACTGAGTAGACTGTTTTTCACTTGATTCAAATTTTGTTTCCAGGTGTTTAGAGTGTCGTACAATTGCTGCCACTGCTGCTTTCCAAAAGTCCGATGTGTGCTGTGACTGGAGARGTAAAACAAAATTGGAAGATGATTACTACAGATATCACACTAATCACTCTTCTATAGCATGACTTTACTCTCAGGAGGAAATAGGAAAATTCTTATTTTTTCTCTAGAAAAGGCTGTACTTTACCAGTTAAGAGAATTCTGTAGCCTTCCCAAATACTTAAAGCAACAACAGTCATTAGTATTCTTGTCACCAGTAGGTCATTAAATGAAATGTCCTGGAAAGTAGGACTCTTTCATTAAATAAGCTAATCACATTCAGTGTGAGCTTTAATAAAATTATGATAAATAGCAACTATTTAACTACCAGCAACTGATAGGAACAATACCTTGCTTCTAGTTAAAATATTCTACAAATGTAAATGAAATAATTAGAACACACTAAATTCTGCAAAATGCCATGAAGAATTGTCTTACCTGACAACGACTTTCCTCTGTGTCTGATCTATTTTGCAGTACACCATCTTTGTCTTTACAGCTGCAAAAAAAMCAATGCTGTTTTGAGCAACATTTTCATGATAGTGCAAAGGTATTAAACTGGATAAAAATGGTTCAAAATTGGAAATGGTTCAAAAKTCAAAACGGTTCAATACAAACATAAGAACACAGCAGTTCACTTTATCTGATTTGCTGTTGGTTAATGGCCTAGTAGGCAGAAAAGCAAAATGATGTAACAAGATGAAGGYCATGCACAAATCCTATTGTTTGGTGCTGATCTATTAAAGCAATATCCTGTACAGTTTTTATGAACTTCTCTCCCCTACAAACACATCCTGTTTTAAAGACAGCAAACRAAACCAGATGACAAATTAAACCTGCAAACAATTTATTAGTTCTATAAAGGATTACAAGAGATGCAGCTCCTGTCACTGAGAAGAAAAACAGTTTAAAACACAACAGTTAGGTTTGACTTCAAGCATGAAGTTGTGCAGYTTTTACTTGTAAAAAGCACAGAAATTAAAAATTAATATTATTTAACATTAGCCTAGAAGACTATAAAGGTCTTGTTCATGAGCACTGTGTGCAGGGTGGTACCACAGTTCTTACCATCAATGACAAATGCYTCTACATCATCAGCCCCGATCTGAAGCTCCTGCTGCATTGTGTCAAATGAGATTTCTTTATTCTCCACAGCCATTCCCATGAAAGTAAGAAGCCTCATTTTGGCCATATTRTGTTCGTGCAACAAGCCTGAGTAAAAGTGTTGACAGTTTAATTCATTATTTAATTATAATTCATACAAATAATTTGCTTTTCATGTTGTTTTTACTATATATGCTTCCAATAATTTTATATTTATTTTACATTAAAATGTATTCAACTTTTCCTTATCAACAGTTTTTCTGAGGTAAAATACCAAATCCTGCATCAACCTTGTCTTTTGCTACAATAGCAAGTTTTATTGTGACTTCATCAAGATTCAGCTGYTCTTAGTAAAAATGTACTATCTACAAAAGTGAAACAGAATTTTAGGTGGTGAGGGTGCAAGTGAAATTTTCCATTGCATCACCTGGAAGAACAGCAATGCAACAAAATGGAAAATCCATGGCTGGTTATGCTAAAAAAAACTTCTAACAGCCTCATCACTCATTCTTCTGTAGTTTMTGGAAGATAAACCTCTCCGTGATGGTTTCAGAACATAACACTGTGGTGCATTTTGGTACTGAATGTTTGTTCACAACAAAAAGGCATCACAAGTGCCACGTAAGCATCCAGTGTGGCCAAGAAAACGCTGTTCAGAAACAGCAGAACTGATACTGAGGTCAGGTTATATCTTTTACATGATTCCATGAATGGCAACACAAGGAACTGAGCCAAAGCCTTGCATGTCTAAATCAGACCATTTTCCTGGAAAAAAGTCTAGGTGAACCAAGTTAGGCCACTGASATGAAACAAGGATTTCTTAATCCCAAGGTCCATGAGGTACCAACTAAGATTCAGTCAAAGTTTCTTAGAAAAGAGTGTCAATCACTTTGTCTTAGAATGACATTATAAACATTGCCATTGCTTCAGTAAATATGTAAGTTTGGAATTTATAACATCCTTACACTAGCAGGGAAGCACATTAGTGCAGGACATCATGTTGTGTTAATTAGCTGTAATTATGATGCAGGTTCCCTATTTGGCACCGATTCAACAAAAATGCGATCACCATAATTCATACGAATGATGAGCACCAGCAACTATACCTAACTGGGTTTAATGGAACTCTACAAGCATCAAAAAATCAATTAGCACACATTAACCCTAATTAACAAATGCAAATGAGATGCTGATTAACTTTGCGAAAAAGGCTGCTGATAATACCAGATTAACTGTGGCCATGTTAGGGCGATGCAGTTGACACAGATAATGCTACTGGCTGGCCTAAGTTGTCAGCATTAATAAAACAACAAATTGTAACAAACTGATGCCACCTGTAGGAGCCTTCCCTGCACAGCTTTCCTGGGCCAGTTCTAACTAGTCCTGGTCCAGGAAAGGTTACAGCTACAGATGATGCTCTACTGCCACCGAAATCTTACTGTTAATAGCCTTTAAAACAAAGGGATCTCAAAAAGTTATTTAAAAAAAGTATCTCTAAAGCATGGTTAAAAATCTCAYTGCATTTTGGGAACAGATAATTTTTGAATGCCTCATCTAATAACTGCATTGCTGTCTAGACTAAACTGCCCTGTTTTTCACAAGCCATGCCTGAACCACTCAGTTCCCTGCATTTCCATCTGTGCTGCCTCCAAATCTGCTTTTCCACTGCTTAAAGACACACCAGGTTTCTGAGTACACCATAAAACAGGTGAGAAACCAATGTAAGTGGAAGTTAAGACTGCCTTTCAAAAAACAGTTACACAGATATTTAGATTTTACTAAGATTATGTGACTCTTAGATATATTGAAAACTCACGCATAAATTAATTAATGAATGGAAACAGATACAGGGAGGCAAGGCAAATGAAATCACAACTATTCCATATGATACAATTAATGCTACATCTGTGAGTAGYTAATCTCCCATACATTTATTCAAATGTTAGTGTGACAACAATGTCAGCAAATACTTCTGTGGACAAATAATTAATATAAAAACCCCAAGCCCACTTTCCCCTGAGAAAGAATACCATAAAATGTCTGCACAATTAATGTTCAAATACACATGACAAAACATACTTATCCTATATACATATGTATACTTATCCTATATACATATTTATAAGCTATCAAAAACTTGCTGCTGATTTTATCCACCAAAAAATCCCATTGGAATTTCCATCATTTTAATACCCAAAGTACCACCATTTTAAAGCTCTGAGGGCAATTATTCTCAGAATTGTAYCACACTCCATTAAACAAAGTAATGCATGTGTTAAAAGGCTGCACTAAACTCTGTTTTAGCAAAACTATGCCTTTCCTCAAATGCATTCAAGGCAGTGTTCAAGTGTCATTTCAAAATCAAAGTTATAAAAAAAATCATTTTTTTATGGAAACATTTATTCATTACCAATATGTCAGAACCTTAATGCAGTAATAAAAAAATYTGCATCATTGAGCAATTTCTGCATTGTCACTGACCCCTGTCCTAAAAAGCTGGAATATAAAAAACGTAATTTTAATGCATGCAATAGCTTATGAACCAGTGCTCCTTTGAAACAGTCAATTACACATCAACGGGGGAGTGTCAAAGTGTTAATTACTACTCCTTTTTTCCAGAGCGTGTAAATAAAGAGGGTGCTGACATTAACATTCCATCACATTGCTTCATGTGATGAAACAAATTAACTGGGACAGACTGTGGCCTGCTGGGTCTAATGCATCAGCACACGCAGACACAAACACACACGCACTATTTGCATGCTTTATCTTACTGCTCACAAGTATTTGCTGTTACAAAGTTATTCATCATTACAAAAAATATTAGGAGATTTGTACAAGCTGGTGGTTTACTCAGTRAAGCATAGTCTAAGAGATGAATGTGTTAAACCTTTCAGGAGGGGTGTTCTAAAAGAAAAAAACACCCACAGTTCTCTTCCAAACCCATAAACCAGCTTGTTTTAGTAGAACAAACCAAGTTAGATGGCTCACTTACAATCTAGCAGAGATTATCATCCACAAACTGATTTTAAAATCTGATTTTATGGAATCTCCTTGCTTCAAAACATGRATTCAAACTGAAGCACTCTGTGGCTGCCATACTTTAAGCTACATAAAGAGTCAGAAACTTACCCAGGGAGTCAATGAAGTCTTTGTTGTTCTGATAAAACTTGACATAGGATGCTAGTTTAGCACTTACAAAAATAGTCAAAAGCTAGAAGATGGAAAACAAATATAAGAATAGTTTAAATACTATCTTGGTTTCCCTCTTTGCAAGCTGGACAGATATAAACTACTGGCATTGAACAGAAAAATAAACTCTTAAGAGCTAAAGTCTTCTGTCAATAGCTGTGGGCAGTCTGTGCTGAGCTTACTTCTTTCTCCTGGACTTAACTGGCAGATTTGTTACAGAACTCATGTGAGGGCAGGACTTGTAACTGAGTTTCTGAAACTTTGAAAGGGAAATATTTCAAATGCAATTTTAATTCTAAAAACTTTAAAAGAAATAGCACATTGCAGCTCAGCGTTACTGACACAGATAACTATTCTAATGGATTTCAAAAGACACATTAAAACAAAGCAGTCTATTACTATCAAACCATYTTGCTAAAAACAAAGTTACTTACATCATGAATGAGTTCTCCTTCCAAAAATTTGACTGGTTTTAAGGCAAGAAGATGATCAAAGAGAAAGGTATTTGGATCCTTCAAGGCTCGTACAATACATCTAATGAGAAAAGGAAAATACTTTCTTTCAAAACARCACACATCTTTATGACTAAGGGCAACTCAATTTGTTGTTCCTTGCTTTCTAAGAAATACAGTTAATAAYAGATGAAAACTGTTGGGTAAGACATGTCACATTCCAATTTTAATCTTCATTTTATGGACAGAAAAGACAAGGAACAAAAWGCATTAAGTAATTTGCCCAGTATCYCAAAWGAAAYGTGCCAGGGGTAAAACCACAGATCACCCTGTTTCCATCTATGCATTTATTTCCAGCACAGCCTTCATTCCTCGAGGTATTTTTATTGTCCTATAATTTCATTGAATTGAGTTATTCTGGAAGATGTAATTATACTTGAATATATGACACAAAACAGAGAAAACCCCAACACCAAACAGTGCAAGGCCCAGGATTTATCAGTTGCAGCTCCAGACTAGAAACAGAAACTSCAGATGAAAGCTTTTCTCAGCAGCACCTCAGAAGCCTTGGCCTGCTCTGCCACACAAGGACACCAGGAATAAGCTGAGCTCTGCATGGACACAGCCCTGGGCACACATGGTCTTTCAGGGGAACAGGCTGCAGGCTGATGTAGGGTAGCCAGTGAAGTTTCCACTTAAGCACAGACACTAATTTTCAAAAGCAGTCATCCTGATTTTCCTCCATGGTCAAATATAAACAACTCCCTTGAGAACTATTGGCTGAACACATCTGGCAGAACTTAAGWAACTAATTCCTAAGAAAAATCATGATAGCTAGAACATCAAAATAYAGRCATTTACTCATTTTGKTCAGTGGGGAAAATGYACTGTTATGAATTAATTTAGTCCCAGGTGTGCAATAGGTAAGTTTATTTCTGTGCAGTTCACATTCGTGTACTTGCTCATAGAGAACACAGCACATCTTTTCAACAGAAAGTGGTATAGAACATTCAAGATTAGATAATAAAACAGGCAAAAAGTAAAAAATCTGAAACAAAGGATTCCAATACGGATTTTGAATGCACAGCTGATGTAATTGAAGTCCTTACCCAAGGCTGATCTCTGCCAGTGACCAGGAACACTCCTGTTCACTTCCACACTGGAATAAACCTGGCTGTGCCTAGAAACAACCAAACCTCTGCAGACTGCAGAGATAAATGCTTGATTGAGTCAGCAATGCTACAGAAGAGGCTGTGGCAGGGCCCTCTTAAAAGAAGGTGACCCAAGTAATTTGGCAATTGAAGAAAAGTCACTTTTAAAGAAAATGGGAAGTCAGTATTACCTGTGAGCATCAACTCTAGCYTGGGAAGCATTGTCCTCTGTGTAACTTCCCAATAGCTCCACCATTACTTTTGCTGCAGTGTCACTAGAGAAAAAAAATAGTTAACTCAGGATTGCTAAAAAATAGTTCAAACAAGACACTCAAATATTTAAATAATTCCGTTATGATGTTATAGGTCAAATTAAATTACACTGTAAAAAGATGTAGATGTAGATCCATTTTAATTCTAGTGGAGAGAACAAATTAACTGGATGTATTCTTTCAATYCTTCTTCTAAAAAATGTTTATCTTCACCCTTCATTTCATTCTCTTAAACKGATAAATTACCTGCTGCTTATGGAAAAAGCTTTCTGAGCTAGGAACAGCTTTATATGGTTCACTAGAATGCTCCTCTTATGCACATCTGGATTTAATCATTGTGCAATAAGTAGCACTGCAAAGTTTATTTCAAATGCAAAATGGCATCTCTTAAAGAATATTTATGGTCAGGAAAATGACTGTATAAAAGCTGCTTTYTTCTTTCACAGATTCTCTCTTTAAGTGTTCAGAGTGAGAGCTACTCGTTTTATTGATGAAATTACACAGCCAGCAAYTGGAGTGAGGCTGCTGTGATGCAAACAGCTTCCAGCACTGATCCAACAGTTTAATACACAACTGGCACTATGCAGATATTCAAAGTGGCTCAGCTCATGTGCTATTCATGCTAAGAATACACAACTCCTTATTTAATAAAAGCTTTTCAGCACTTGATCTTATACACTTCAGAGCTGTTACAGTGTTCTGGCATTTTTCCTCTCCTAATCTTTCCCGTAGGAGTGAAAATTGAAAATTATCACTTAACTAATTTCAAATAGTATTTTCAATTCTCTACCCTTTTTTTAATTTTTAAGTGGGGAAGGAGTGGAATTTTTTCACTTTTATTTCTAGGAAACAACAGAATGCTACAAGACAATTACTCCTCTGTGCTAAATTCTTGTGAACTTCAGGAAATATGGCAGGCCTTTAGTCTTTTATTCCACTGAGTGTTAGATTACCACTGTAAATTAGGATGTTTAAAGTATGAATAGAAATCAAAATTTTATCAATGCTTGTTGCTAAATGTGTCTTACCTAAGGTGCAAATGTGAGCATTTTTTCTGGCAACACAGCCTGAGCAAGTGCTCTTGGCTCCACTTGCCAGTCTAGATGCATAACTTGACAAAAAGCCAGGGAGAATTGAAGAGTGATGGTAGATAAAAGGAAGGAAAAAAAGCCACAACAGAGCATTCAGAGACTTTGAGAGACGTTGGAAGTGAGTCCCTCTACGTTATATGATATTAAATGGAATTAAATTGAAATGAAACAATTACTTTGCAGGTTCCTGACAGACTTAGCTTTTTSCTGCAAGTATTAATAACCAGACTTGCCAGACCTGTTCGAATTCAGCTTGGGCAGGACTAATGCTGCTGAATCCTGCCAGCAGAGACCAGCTTTAAACTGCACCAAGGTGGCTGGAAAAGGTTTGATAAAAGAAGCTTTCACTTGTAGGAAAAGGGACACCACACAACCTCTGCATCATCTACTTTTTAGGAGCTACCAATTTATTAACTACAACTTATCCACTGGGAGAAAGTTTATTAGCTATAGAAAACCACCTCTTCTGCCACATTGAGCAAAGTAGCCACACTGAGAAAAACATAAATCAAGCAAACAAAAGAATTGTCTTCAACAACATAGTTCTTCTCCTTTGATTATAAATCAACAAYGGTAACTGAGGTATGATTTTTATCAAGTATTTTTCAGTTCCCACTTATCTTCCCATACTGCTAGAWAGAGCAACATTCCTGAGTGCTACAGCTGGAATGCTGCAGTGAGTTTCCCATACTATTACAAACACTGCCCACTGATCCAGGAGAGTGAACCAGGTCAAAGGTGCCAGGGTCACTTCTTGTTTTCTTTTCTGGAGAGAAGTGCAAGTGCTCTGAAACATTGCTCTGCTCAGTGCACAGCTTGCTGCAACTCAAAATAAGGACACTGAGTGCAGGAGTCATTTCTTACCTGTTTGTGGAAGGTTTTACTGGCTATTTTAGAAATATCTCCTATGGTTAGTAAGCAAAAACCATTTAATAGGAAGGTTACTGGTAGCAGTGGAAACAAAAATTATATGTTTAATCCACTGATTTAATAGAAAAGCTAAAAATAGTTGGCTATTAAGTTTGGAAATGAGACTAGTTAAACCCTCACAAGTGTTTAAAAAAGGAAGAGCATTGTCAGCGTAATTATTTGCCATGTGCTCTAGGAAAGATCTGTGACTAGCATTTCCAAATTTATTTTGACCACTTGAAATCTGCCAGATAAAACCATCAACACAAAAGTATTTGAGTGTTACAAACAGGAATTCCCAGTGATGCAGCTCACAGCGTAATGAGGATTAATCATCCCTGAATTGAGGTTAGTTAAAAATCATCCTGCTATGCTGATGCAGCATTTCCAGGCCACAATTCCAGCAGGGCAGAGTAAGCCAACTGTCTTGACAGAAGGAACTCTTCTCCACCTGTGACAGCTTTACACTTGCCTTTTCAAACCCCCAGCAAGGTCATGTCCTCAGTCCAACCCACAGTGCAGTCACACAAATGCCCACACCATCACAAACACACAGAGATATTGGGGCTGGAAGTGACAGGCAGGAACTGAGGCCACAGGACAGAACTTCCTTCTGCAGCAGCACAAGGTTTTGCAAATGTGGAAAACAAAAGCGCAGTTCTGATACCACTCTGGAAGGGTCCTGAAGCTGCCTCACCATGAAAATAAAAAAAAACTTAAAAAAGAAACTCAGAATTACTGGGGAAGAGCTGGGGAAGSAACACACATCCCCATCCCAAACTACAGGGACAGTTTAGATAGGCTTGAGCTGTTGTRCAACTACATGCTGAACCACTGGATAGCAGCCCATCTGTGTAACCCCAGCCAGGTCAGTCAATTCACTGTGGCACATCTTAAGATAAATTGATGACAGCTCTCAGTTATGACCTGCATTAATTTACAGGCACCATATACACAGGATTACTCCACATGCCAGAAGACAGTGGTCTGCCAAGTTTGTTAGATCAAAGATGATCCAGGATAATAACTCAAAATGGCCAAGCAGGTATTCTGTGGGCATTAATTTCCATGACTAGTGGAAAGCTCTGTCCTAAAGGTAATGTTTACATAAAAAGACTGATTCTGCTAATTGTGATTGATAAGCYTTCCCACATCATTAAGTAAGAGATAGCACTACCATGCACTAAAATGTCAAAAGTGCAATTAAATAATAAACTTGGCATAATGCTGCAATGTTCTAAGATGAGTACTTAGAAAGAAATATTGTTACTTTGGGAGACTATGGTTTGCAGGTAATTCACTACTAACTTTAATATCCTTGGGAACACTGGGTGAATATAAGAGTGCTTAAAAATATTTTTAAAACTCCACAAGTATTTTTGAATTGAATTATCGATACAGAATGATTTTACAAATCCGGTGAGAAATATTTTCCCTACAGATCAAAATACAAAGTTATCTAGAATGTATGATTTGTCTTTTGTACCTTTTCTTGCAGTCCACCAGGACATCATAGAGCAGTCTCAGAAGAGTATGCTTTTTCTCTGTGGCCAAATTCCAGTCGGAAATCCATTTTCGRACCTAGGTACAATACGAATGAAAAAGAACCATTCAGGAAAAGATTAAAGTAACACTATAAATATTTCTTGTTTTCTCCCAAGCAGAAAAGGATTAAAAGTATTTTGCAAAGAGATTTCTCTTTAGGTCTTCTGACTCTCATGTTCCCATTACCCCTTGTCCTGTCACTATTTGCCCATGCTGAAAGTTGCTCTCCTTCTTTAATAAGCCCAGGTTCAAAGTTCTTGAAAGTTGCAATAAGGGCACCCTGGAGCCTTCTCCAGGCTGAACAATCCCAATTCTGTCATCCTTCTCTCATAGGAGAGGTGTTGCATCTCTCTAATTATCTTCGTGGCTATTTCTCTAGGTTCTGGCAATTTTTAAGAAACTATTTGTATCAGCTCCGAGTAACATTGAGATGAAATATGGTTCATACAAAGGCCACAACTTGAAGGACCACCTTAATTACCTGATCTAGTTCAGTTGGAATGTACTGGATGGCACCACAGGACGAGGCCACTTTCAGAAGGCTGCAGTACACTGTGTACCTCACAGGAGTGTTCTTGTCCATGCCATGGAAGAGATTGCTCAGGCTAAACAGCAAACAATCAACACTGGAGTCAAGGAGATTTCAAGAAACTGTACTAGAGTGCATGCAAATGTTTTATTAACACACATACTACTAAAGACAAAGCATCTGGCAGCACCTTACATCCATGACTAATTGTAACAGCTTCCATTTCTGTGATCATTTTCAGCAAAGCTGAAAACTATGCATTTCAATTTTAGGTTTGAGGAAAAAGGAAAAAAAAAATGGTATTTCTATTTTATGACAGGAAAAGAAGGTAAAAAAAAGAGTGCTTCGTGCAACACCCCACACTTTGATTTAAAGACATACAAGATAATCCCTCCTCTTTAGAGGCTGTGCAAGGCCTCACTTTTGTCTCACTTTGCTCTGTAGAATACTTACAGCTGCAGYCTAAGAGATGGACGCTCTCCTTCCCGAAATTTTACTAACTTTTCACACAGGTTTTCAATCAGTGCTTCTTGTTTTTCAGGTTCCAAGATAAGAAGCAGAGAGACAACGCTGTTCATCACACTTTCAACATCTGCATAAAGCAAAACATAYAGCTGTTTGAAACTGCAAGCAGCAATTAGTAGCTACCTTGCACTAGAGTTACTTTTGACATGAATTACCACTTTGCATAAGCAAGAACTGTAAAAGAAAGAAAATGCCAAGATACCAACCTGGATATGCATCAGAATGTGCCAAGAACTAGACAAGAACTACCACTCAAAGATCAATACAGAATGTGGTATTTGATATTACACTTGCTCTGAATTCTGTTTACACATAAGAGAAGTCAGAGGAACTCTAACTTCTGCACAGTGGCTTCTTCTGCACATCCAGGAAACTGCCCACAGTTCTACAGTGAGAATACTAACACCTAGTGCTCAACTMCAGTAAAGCATTTCACCAGGAGCACAAGGGATATCCAGACACAGGGAAAATGCCCTCAAGAACTATTAAGTGTATTAGAAACCATCCCCAGTTCCTGTTTTAAGCAGAGTGCTTCATCCTTTCCAAACAGAACCACACCAGTTTTGTGTTTTCTGTTCAGTTTGCCCAATTATCAGTCAAGCCAAGGCCAAGAACAAAATTTATTACATATGGAAAATACCGTTTATTCCCCAAAATGACACCTGAGCACCAAAACCCCAATTTTACATACAAGTCTCTATGCTCTTGTTACAAGCACAGTCTAGCTCAACTTCTAACTTCTTCAAAGGGTGCTGGATCTTTGGAGAAAGGAGGGGCAGAATACATGCAAATTTTCTATGGAAATGATGGAAATAAGCACTACCAGTTTTGTGAAGATGCATGGCTTGTGTTTTAACATKCTACCCATTTCTACATCCTGCCAACTGTTGCTGTTTGAAATCACTGATTGCAATAAGTTTAGCAAAACCAACAAGACTTAAGAGATGCAAACCTTTGTCATCCTCTTTCAGGCACACATCACACACTTCAATAATCTGTGCCAAGTCCACATGAAGTCCACCTTCAGCRTTTTCTTCAGAGATTTCTGCTCCTTTGGATTTCAGGTAAGCTCGCAGTTCTGCAGCCTTAAAAAAGAGAAAGACAACACATACAAAACAGTTGTTTTGTGAACAACGAAGCCAAAGTGATTAAATTTCTTACAGATTTTTGTTCTGCCAGATGCTGTAGTGCTACAGCTGGTTTGCAAGCGACTGAATAGGTCACAGAGCTGGGCTTTTTCACTGTGAATGTGTCACTTACAACTCGGTAATGAATTGGAAAATGGCTTGAATTGGAAAGCACCTTAAAGATCATCTCGTTCCACACCTCGGCCATAGAGAGGGAACCTTCCACTAAACCAGGCTGCCAAAAGCCCCACTCAACCCGGCCTTGTGACACCATGTCCTCACTTACACTGTCAGGACTTAAATCTACACCAAGAAAATACTTCTCTCTCAGCAACAGGCTGGTTCATGACCTTTACATTTCAGGGCTTCAACAGCAGAATCACAATCCTTCTGAAACAATCTGAGGCCATACAGCTTGTGGCACAGGGCAGCTCTGATCAGAAGGCTGCTGTGACAGCAGTGTCATTTACATCACCTTCAGTGTCAAATCATTTTGGAACTAGAAGAGAAAGCTAAATGCCCTGGGCATTTTGCTGTACTGAGGACATTTCAGACCAGCTACTTGATGAGTACAAGGCATTATGGCAAGTGAAAACTGGAGTGAAGGCCGGCAGCCCTGTGTGTATTTCCTGTAAATTTCCAATGCGTACACGTACACATGGTATACATATTGTGTATACGTATCTATGTACACACATGTACATACTTCAAAAACACTGGGAACAAGCAGCCCCCAAAGCCAAAGGCACAACAAAACAACAGTTCAAAGACAGAATACCCAGGCTGTAGTACCGAGAATTCTGCAAAACCAAAGCTGCATAAGTAATGCCGATATCTGAACTAGTTTTGTTCTCCTAAATAAAAAGTACGGCTGACGTGCGACGAAAACGAATTGCCGGGGAGGTGACGAACACTGCAGAGGGAACTGCAAGCACAGGGTTATCTTTCAGCCATTATGTTGAGTTTTCTCTAACCGCCTGCTCGGTGTCTGTAGGAACAGCCCAGATGAGTTCAGGGAGCGCTCTCGGCGCGCACGGAGAGTCAGCCCCGGCCCGTCCCCGATCCCCCCAGCCCGGCCCGGCCCGGCTCCTCCAGCCCGGGGCCGATCGCTCCCCGCGGGGCGCTGACCTGATCCTCCTCGGTGATGTCGATGAAGGCCGGGACGCTCATGGCTCCGAGCACGCCGCGCTCCGGAAAGGCGGAGCGGCTTCCGCCACCGCGCCAGGCCGCGCCTTTCCGCTTCCCTCAGCCGAGCGGGCGGGACCGGGGCTGCGACCGCCCTGCCCTGCCCTGTGCCCTGTGCCCGACCGGCCCGGAACGCCCTTCCCGGCGGAGCCCTGCTTGATCCAACCCTTCTTGATCGGCCT